TGCCTGGGAAATCCCATGGACAGAGGGGCCTGGTGGGTTACAGTCCATGGGGTCACAAAGAGTCGGACANGTTCCTCCAGCAGTCTTTTTTTTCATTTGGAGGAAAATTGCTTTACAATGTTGTGTACAAGCCATAATTACACATATATCCCCTCTCTCTTGAGCCTCCTTCCCCTCCCCCCATTCCCCCCCTCTAGGTCATCACAGAGCATGAGGCTGGGCTTCCTGTGTTACACAGCAGCTTCCCATTAGGTATCTATTTTACACATTTCTGTTTTGTCACTCAATCGTGTCCAACTCTTTGCAACCCCACGGACTGTAGCACACCAGGCTTCCCTGTCCTTCACGACCCCCAAAGACTTTGCTCAAACTCATGTCCCTTGAATCAATTATGCCATCCAACCATCTTGTCCTCTGTCTTCCCCTTCTCCTCCTACGCTCAATCTTTCCCAGCATCAGAGTCTTTTCCAATGACTCGGCTCTTAGCATCAGGTGCCCAAAGTGTAGGAGCTTCAGCATCAGTCCTTCCAATGAACATTCAGGGTTGGTTTTACACGTGGTAGTGTATATATGTCAATGCTACTCTCTCTGTCTGTCCCCTTTCCTTCCCCCACCGTGTCCACATGTCCATTCTCTACGTCTGCCTTTCTGTTCCTGAAGGGCAGATTGTTGATAAAGTAGCCAAGGGCATAGCAGCAAGTTGGCATCAAGAACCTTCCATCTGTAACACATAAATGATGTTCCAGATAATGTGATTCAGCTATGGGCTGGCGCCTCCCCTCCCTCATCTCTGGAACTGCCACAATTTTAATAAACAGAGCTCACTCCATGCATTCAAGGGACAGTACAATTGCAGGCATAATTTACTCTCCTGTGAGCACTAGTGTTTAAATTCTCAAATTGTCATTGTTTGTGTTGGTTTCTAGCACACGGAAATTGCATAATAGAAATACAACAGCAAAGACCCAGAAAACTTGTTCTGTGCCGAGCGTGTTCTGAGTTCTCCTCGTGTGTCAACCCCCCCACGGCTTACCTCTCCCTCCCGCCTCCAGCATTCATCTTTGTCCTGGGCACAGCCTGTACCCTGAGGTGCCCCTACAGCCCTCTGACCTGCCAGTCATCCCCTCAGGAATCGCAAGGCCGCTTAGCCCCCCACCTCGCACCCTGCCACCCCACCGTCAGGGGTGTGGGCTTCCGGCCAGCCCTCCGAGAAAAGACCGTGCAGTGATGTAGCCATTGTTTTCAAGGATCCAGGATGTCTTTAAGAAGAAAGAGTACTGTCATCTGTGAGCGTGAGTCATGCTCCAAAAAACTAAAGGGAGTGGGCTTAAAATAGAATCAAGAACATCGGAAGGGACTCAGAGAAAGCCAGACTGAGAAGATAATGGCACAATGAGTACTGTAGCTGCAAAGAGATGAAAACAGGAGCCTCTAAGTGGGGAGCCCAGGACACCCTGGAGCCCCTCTCTCCATCCCTGCCCTTCAGTGGCCACCAAGCCTGTCCTCCAGCCCTGGAGCCCTGGCTGCAGGAGGGCAGGGACTTGCCTACTTCACTGTGCTGCTGGAAGAAGGGGCCAGAACACGGCACCCTGAGCTGGTGGCGGGCAGGTGGATGATGACGTTGTCAACTGAGCCCTCTGGACCCGGCCCCTTCCTCCGAGCCTCCCCTTCCCCGGCCCTGTTACAACCACCTGGCTTCTGTGCTCCCTCCCACCTCCAGCCGCTAGAGGGTCTGAAATAAAAGCAAAGTCCAGCCCACCTTTGTCCATGTCCCCCAGTGGATGCCCTGGTACACAGGCTCAGCCCTGACTCCCCCAGCAATGCAAAGGCCAGACCCCACTGCCCTTCCCCTTCCCTCTCCACCTCTCCTCTCCCTTGCTGGGCCATCAGGGCCCCCATCCCCACATCTGTTTGGGCCTGGACCCCTGCCTGGGGCACCCAGACAGCCTGGTGGACACTGTCTTGTCCCCAGACACCCCCTCTACCGTGAAGACCCCTCCCTCTGGGAACTGTCCCGGGAGATCCCCTATCCCGTCATTATGGACTCTGCACCCTGTGCTCAGCATTCTCCAGGCACCTCATTTTTATTTCTGTTATGGTGCTAGCCACATGGTTCTTTCAGTTCATCACCGTGCTTTTCTTGAAGGCCAAGCACCATCCAATGTCAGGGGTACGGGTGAGGCAGGCAGAGAACCCATGTCATCACTTGAAAGAAGGAGAAAACTTAGGGTTGTGTCTTGCGTGATTAACAAGCCACCATCCTGCCTGGCACCTGCCATGTGCCCTTATACCAGCAGCGGACTCAAATCCGCTCCTCTCACCTCACAGCCTCCTCATTCTTCAGTGGAGCAAACTGCAGCTTGGGGGGCAGAGCTGTGCTCACATCCCACCTCGGGGGCTCCCAGCTGCATCCCCCACCCCATAGGCCTTACCCCCAGTCAAAGGTGTGCCAAAAGGTTGGTATAGTCAAAGCTATGGTTTTTCCAGTAGTCGTGTACAGTTGTGAGAATTGGAACATAAAGAAAGCTGAACGCCAAAGAATTGGTGCTTTTGAACCGTGATGCTGGAGAAGACTCTTGAGAGTCCCTTGGACTGCAAGGATATCAAACCAGTCCATCGTAAAGGAAATCAACCCTGAATATTCATTGGAAGGACTGATGCTGAAGCTGAAGCTCCAGTACCACCTGATGCAAAGAGCTGATTCATTGGAAAAGACCCTGATGCTGCGAAAGATTGAAGGCAGAAGGAGAAGGGGAAGACAGAGGATGAGATGGTTGAATGGCATCACTGACCCAATGGACATGAGTTTGAGCAAACTCTGGGAGGTGGCAATGGACAGGGAGGCCTGGTGAGCTGCAGTCCGTGGGGTTGCAAAGAGTTGGACGCAACTGAGCAACTGAAAAACAACAAAGATGTGGCCTTCCCCGGTGGGTACAGATGACACGGATACAGTGGCCAGAGGAGTAAGGGTGAGACGCGGGTCCTGTTGAGAGTGCGGGGCTGTCACAGGTGCTTTCTCAGGGGAGATGACTTCAAAGCCAGGACCCAAAGGATGCGCGGGAGTTGCTGAGCACCAGAAGAGGGTACAGAATGTTCCAGCCTGAGGGAGCAGCCTGGAGGAAGTCCCAGAGTATGAGCACAGCTGGCAGCCTGGAAGAAGTCCCAGAGTATGAGCACAGCTGGCAACCTGGAGAAAAGACAGCTTGAGGGGCTGGAGAAGGTCTAGGGGCAGAGGGTATGCTGAGCGGAGCATGATGAGTGAATCAAGGTATTTGGGCTTGTCCCGGGGGTGGTCGGACAGGCAGAAGCCAACGAAAGGATTTCAGCGAGAGGGTGACTTGATCTGATACAAGGCTTCGGGCAGAGTACAAATTGGGCAGAGGACAGAGGTTGATGTGGGAAGACCAGTCTGGCCGTTCGCCAGAGATGATGGTCTGGATGAGGGTGGAGGCCATAGAGAAAAAAAGGAATGGATCTGACAGAAACTTTATTAACTTTTTATTTGTATTGGGGTATAGCCAGTAAACAATGTTGTGATACTTGCAGGTGGAAAGCCAAGGGGCTCAGCCATACATACACATGTATCCATCTTCCCCCAAACTCCCCTCCCGTCCAGGCTGCCACACAACGCTGAGCAGAGTTCCCTATGCTGTCCAGTAGGTCCTTGTTTGTTATCCCCTTAAAATATAGCTGTGTGTATCTGTCCTTCCCAAACTCCCTAGCTATCCCTTCCCCACATCCTTCCGGCAACCATAAGTTCATTCTCTAAATCTGTGAGTCTCTTTCTGTTTTGTAAATAAGTTCATTTGTATCATTTCATTTAAGATTCCTCCTATAAGAGATGTCATAGGATATTTCTCCTTCTCTATCTGACTTATTTCACTCAGTATGACAATCCCTTGGATCGGAGAGAATTTGAGGGAGGAAAATCTCACAACATTCGGACATTGGATGTGAAGATGATAGGGAGAGGTCAAAGATGCCAGCTGGATGCCGGGTGTGGGCAGGTGACTGCCTAGCAACACTGCACTCGGGGAGAGAAAACACAGGGGGGGAGGAGGATACGGCATCGGGGTTGTGTGTGGATCCGAGGTCCCCAAGGGCATCTGGGAGGCAGTTGGAAGGTTAAGCCAGGACTCCCAAGAGCAAGTTGCCTGCCTGTACAAATGTGAGAGTGTGTACAGTCCGTGCTTGATGCTGCAGGTGGGGATGAGTTTAGGGAGGGATGGAGGCACGCCTGTCTCCTCTCTCTGCCCCCTGTACTGGCCACATGCTGTGCTGTGCTAAGTCACCTCAGTGTCCGACTCTGCGACCCTATGGACTGTAGCCCACCAGGCTCCTCTGTCCATGGGATTCTCCAGGCAAGAATACTGGAGTGGGTTGCCATGCCCTCCTCCAGGGGATCTTCCCAACNGCCCCATTTCGAGTGCTCAGAAGCCATGTGGCTCGTGGCTTCCCTAGTGGCCAGGGCAGGTTACAGACCACTCCCATCATCACAGACCACTCTAGTGGCCAGCACTGGGTCCAGGCTGTCTTGGATTTGTGTCCATGGGTGCCCAGGTCCTCAGAAGAAAAAGTACAATTCCCTAGATTAGCTACCTTTGAGAAGTCAACAGGCAGCTGTTGGCTGGCCTGAAGGTCAGAGGAGGAGCCCTGCACTCTTCAAGGTGCTTCGCAGGAGTGGTTGGCCTCACGCTCGGGCTCCACGTCAGCCACAGGGCCCAGCTAGAACCTGGGAGTCTCGGCACACGAGGCTCCTCTTCATGTTTGTCTGACCTAAGTCTGAATTCTTTCTCGGGCCCATGGGCAATAGCATGTTTGCATTTGAGCGAGTAAACCCTTCTAGATGACAATTCATGACCACAGAGTCTCCACAGAGAATCAGACCTGGAGCTTCCATTTCAGAAGTCAGTTCTGAGTCATCAAAAAGGTTCAGTTTCTGCTCTTGCTTTTGTTTTCCATCTTCGTGGAGTGTGTACCTTTGTTCTTTTCTTTTCCAGTCGGATGTCATGGATCAGAATTTGTTAAATTTCCTTCCAGAGCAAGAACACTCAGAAGTCTATAAAATGCTCTCTTCCCATATGCTTGTGACGGACACCCCTTCCCCAGAATACTTAAAATGTAAGTTTAACTTCACTGGTTTGGTGAGAGAGAAAGATAAGGATCTTATATTAGAAAGGAAGGTTAAGAGTCTACAGCCATACCACTCTTAAGGCGCCCAATCTAGTCTGATCTCAGAAGCTAAGCAGGGTTGGGCCTGGTTAGCACTTGGATGGGAGAAAGGAAGTTAGAATGAATTAAGAAGGGAGGACTAATTTTAAAAATAATTTTCCTTATGACTCAGAACATTTCCAAGATCCTTAGAGGTATATTTTAAGTTTAAAGCTAAAACTGGAGTTTGGAATATGTAAGACATTGAACTTTTATGTGGAAATTATGAAAAGCACAGAGGTTTAGAATAATAACTTTGTTTTGCATGTGATAACAAGAGATTACCTTTTTTTCATATGAGAGCCTTTTAGTAATAAAGGATACAAAAATCACTGAATAATCTGTTTATTTTGGAAGACGCTAGAAAACTAGATTTGTATGATACCAAGTAACCAACTAAAAACTGAATAATTAGGTCAAAACTCTCTTCTGAGGCTGTCATCTGATTATTTATATACATTTGCAGATTTTACGGAATTTTAAAATTTTTATCAAAATCAGCAACTCGGATAGAAAGCTGGCCTGGTCACTTAATGAAGTGCGTCTTTTGATGATGATAGCAACAGTGCCTTATACTTATTCAAGCCTTAGTTCATTTTGCATGAATAATTTGTCCTGTTGTACATCTGATTTTCCTTCAAAGCAAAGTGGAAAGATTAAATTAAAGAGAGCAGCTCTATGTGAGCAGCTTTATTTTAATATACCATATGAAAACGACCAGAACTAATCAATGCCGACAGAACCAACCGCAGACATCTGTGATTAAATTAAGACTAATTGGCTCTGAGTACGGGATGCAAACTATCTATAAACTATGGAGCGGAAAAACCTATGTCGCCAAGGTTATAAAACCATGTCCGAAAGTCAGCTATTAACGAGACAACTAGCCCAGCCATGTGTTGACCAAACCCTGTGAGTTTCCCAAGATGCCTCTTGTTTAGTCTAGAATCATTGGCGTAATGCTTTTATTCCCTTTCTCTCCTTTTTTTCCCTTAACGGCCCAGCTGACAACGATTTAGAGTTTTATTGCCATCTTCTCAGAGGCAGCTTGAACCCAAAGGAATTTCCAACTTATGAATACATAAAATTTGTAGGAAATTTTCGCTCCTACAGCAATGGTAAGCATTCATTGTCACAAAGTTGTGGTGGTTGTGTTGGCTTTTCTCATGCAGACCTGCCCGGGGACGAGAGTGTCGCCGTGGGGAGGAGCAGGGAGAAGATGTGCCTTCCACATTTGCACGCGGATTTCTGTGTTCCAAAGATGTGTTTTTGTTGCTCGTAAATGGGTATCGCCCATTCGGGAAGAACACACCCCCACACCTGTTTATGCCAGCGCATTAAGTGCCGCCAAAAGGCACGTTATTCATTTATTTATTTTCAGGCTAATGGAATAGTTCTGTGCTGCAAGAAACAAACAGCAGTTAATAAAGAACAGTCTCAGCCTACACACAGCCAAACAGGGCTTCGCTGTGACACGAGGATGCGCGACCTTGGTGCCTGCATTTTTATCCTCCTTTATACAGAAGTGCCTAGAGCCTGTTTTCAGAGCTTCAGTCCACGGGCCTTCTGGGCTTCCCTGGACCTTCTGGGCTTCCCTGGGGGCTCAGAGGGTAAAGAATCTGCCTGCAAAGCGGGAGACCATGTTTGATCTCTGGGTTGGGAAGATCCCCTGGAAAAGGGAATGGCTCTCCACCCTAGTATTCTTGCCTGGGAAATGCTATGGCCAGAGGACCCCTGGTGGGCTAGTCTGTGGGGTCG